GCAAGTAACTTGTGACATACGCATAGCGAAATTCGAAAATCGTTCTATATCAAGAAAATGATTGAAACGTGCCGATCGACGCAATTGTGAAAGTAATCGCGGTACGAGGAATTACTGATTAATTTCACGAATACAGAGATCAATCAAATCTTGATTTTGCTACGATCACTTTCGCAACTGCGTTGATCAGCACGTCTCGATCATTTTTCTAATAGAATAGATCAGACGTTGAAAGCTAGAATATCGAGGTGCGCGGTGATTAATTAAAGAGTTCACCGAACGTGCTATATTAATTATTGTCAATCCTGCTTATACTCGTTAGCAACTTTTCGCATGGTTTTCTTTTATTATTGTAGTTGAATGATTTTCTAAATAGTAAGTTCGCTGGGGACACGAAATACACAGGAAATTCTTCCTAATCTTCCTTCAGTTTGTAAAGAAAAATGGACAATTTGAAAAGAGAACGATTATTCGAGCCTTGCACCTCGTTTTTATAATTATTGACGATCGGCAACTGTAAAAATGAGCAGCGAGGCTCGAATAACCGCGTCTCCTCTTTCCAAATTCAACATTTTACGAGCTGAAGGATTACAATTACTCGAGTCTAGCACCTCGCTTTATATTGGCGTTTGGAAACTATAAAAATGAACTGCGAGTCTCGAATGTGTACAGTATAGTCTCTCTAATTAATGCTCAGATTGCCCACAAAAATAGACAATTTAGGAAGAGAAGATACGATTATTCGATCCTTCCGGTTCATTTTTGTAGTTACGAATTTGTCAACGGCTATAAAAACGAGCTGCAAGGCTCGAATAATCGTATCTCCTCTTCCCAAATTGTCCATTTTTAGTGCGCAATCCGAGCGTCAGTTAGGGAGACATTACTGTATCTTGAATGTGTATCTTCTCTTCCCGAATTGTCCATTTTGTTTACAAGCTGACGGAAAATTGAGCAGAATTCACAAACAATTTCAATCAAAACACGCGTAATTAAAAAAGAAGATCCGAAGAAAAGCATTTTATGTCAGCAGAGACAAACGAATGCAGAAACGCGGCCGCATTGAAGTTCCACTGGACGCTGTGGGTCGAGTGTTTTTAAAAACCGGGCGAACCCGACGGAGTCCTAGACGGTTTTCTCGGCGATTTCGAACAGCACTTGATTCGCGGGTATTACCATAATCGCACGGTCACGGGAGATAAATTCCTGGCCGCGTGGGTCGCGGCGAACGGCCGCGTTTCTTTATCTCCGTCCTCGGTTAGATTTATGAATGAGCCAGATGCACGCACGCATGTCATATTTTCTGTGCCGCGGCACACGTGGGTCCCGCGTCCTATTTACAACAAAATTCAATCCGGCCGCGATATCGCGTCCCGCCGCAAGAATAACACATCAGCATCGATATTGCCTAATCGCCGGCGGAATCGTAATCGAACGGAAGCCGCGGACGCGCACCTGCCCACCGGCTCTACACTTCATTATCGTTATCCAATAACGCGGACTAAATAGGACGGCCGCGCAATTAGCCGGCGAGAGCGGTACCGCCGCGCGGAATTTGCCCGCGCGAAAACGCGTTCGCGGGAACGTTTTCCACCGGTGCCACCGTTAGCCGACGATGCTCGGAAACGGCGGCGAGCGCGACGTCATGCTCGGTTTCATCATTTATCAAATGATTCGAGGAGCATGACGGTGCTGATAACTCGTTCGCGTCGTCGGCCGGGTTAAATTAGACTTTCAGAGGCGCTGGATCGCGCGAACTAGGATACCGGCGTCGATTAATGATTCGAAGTGGATCGTGATTATCGAGAAGAGAGCGTCGCTTTGCAAATTTGTCTCGTGGTTATTCGAACAGAAATATTATTATTATTATGCTATTACATTGTTTATTACAATGATTTATTGTATTATTTAAAATAATTATTGATTGTAATATTAGATATACACAGAAATATTATCAATTGTTTTCTTATTTTTGTCAATACTGTTATGTACTGGGTTGGCAACTAAGTAATTGCCGATTTCAGTTATAGATGTCTCTCACTCCCATTTTTATGATATCCGTAAATGTTATATTATAAAATTATTATTATTATTATGTTATTTTTTATTATCCGTGAATGTTAGCAACTGGACAAATTGAATGCAGCGGTCAAGGAAAAGCGACCAGAATTGGTCGATCGTAAAGGTGTCATTTTCCAGCAGGACAATGCTAGGCCGCACACGTCTTTGTCCACTCGGCAAAAATTCATGGATATTGGTTGGGAATCGATGTTACACCCACCATATAGCCCTGATCTCGCGCCATCGGATTACCACTTATTTCGATCCCTGGACAACTCCCTTCGTGGTAAAACTTTTAACGATGATGACGCTGTAAAATCTCACTCAACTCAGTTTTTGGCCGAAAAGGATCGGACTTTCTACGAGCGTGGAATTTTCAAGTTGTCGGAGAGATGGCAAAAGGTCGTCGAACAAAGTGGAAAATACATTACAGATTAAACTTCGTTCCAAGTAAACAAAAATTTTTTATTTCATTGAACAAATCGGCAATTACTTAGTTGCCAACCCAATATTTAGTGGACTGATAGATTGGTATCGTTGTCTCGGTTCGTTCTTCTAAGACGTTGCCGGTAATCTGCTTTTTTTGCTCGAAGTGGCAGGGATTACCGAGACAGACGACGCTCGATTTAAGTAGATTATGCTTCGAATGATCAGACCGAGAGGGCTTCTTGCTTTACAGACAGACAGAGGATCTTCGCGCGTTGCTGCGTAAACTCCCATGTCACGAGACAGATGTACGTTATCCAACGTCGACGCTAATTTTGCTTTGTTTAAATCCGAGGAAACCGCTTCGTCGCGTTTGAAAAATGAATTTATTACCTCGTTCCAATTTTCACAAAATAAAAACTGTGCGCGACAGGTTCGTTACCGGAACACGGTTTCCATGCAGTACGCGGCAGAAAAATGTCACGCTAAAGTCCAAAGCAGGCGATATTAAATGGGAATTGTATTTTCATTGAGCGCAATCGTATTTTGCATTCGATATTTATGAATTTCCGCATTGTCTTGTTCGTAACGTTAAATGAATCGGTTTTACGGTTCGTTAATACAATGAACGGATATTTAATTGCGCAAAAAGCCGAACGGGTGCTGCACCTGTCTGCCCTCCGGAAAAGCCGCGAAGGTGACAATAACGGAACCACGCTTTCTGAATAATGTAAAATCTCTTTGATGATAAAATATGCGCATGTAATTTCAAGCGGATACCGCGGTCATGGTCAGACCCTGTTTTATATTCCGCGAGACTCCATAGAAAATTTCAGTTCGTACAAAACATTTAAACGCGAGAATAATATGTACATTTCGGAATCACTTAAAAATGCATGAAACGAACGACGTTCTCTTAGAGAATAAAAAATTGATCGTTTATAGATCCCAAATCACGTTTCTGATTTATGTAACTTTAATCTGTAATGTATTTTCCATTTCGTTCGACGACCTTTTGCCATCTCTCCGACAACTTGAAAATTCCACGCTCGTAGAAAGTCTGATCCTTTTTTTCGCCAAAAACTGAGTTAAGTGAGATTTTACAGCGTCATCGTCATTAAAAGTTTTACCACGAAGGAAGTTGTCCAGGGATCGAAATAAGTGGTGATCCGATGGCGCGAGATCAGGGCTATATGGTGGGTGTAACATCAATTTCCAACCAATATCCATGAATTTTTGCCGAGTGGACAAAGACGCGTGCGGCCTAGCATTGTCCTGCTGGAAAATGATACCTTTACGATTGACCAATTCTGGTCGCTTTTCCTTGACAGCTGCATTCAATTTGTCCAGTTGCCAACATTCACGGATAATAAAAAATAACATAATAATAATAATAATTTTATAATATAACATTTACGGATATCATAAAAATGGGAGTGAGAGATATCTATAACCGAAATCGGCAATTACTTAGTTGTCAACCCAATAGTACACGTGGGATTGACTAATTAAACCTGTCAGACAATTCGATCGCAGACTAACTCTTTCCTCGGAAGAAAAATTTCTTCCGACCTCTCTGAACGATCCTGGTATACTTTCAGCGGGACGCGTGTACGAGATCTATCGATCGAGAGCCGCGCCCGGCCAGCCGAACGGTTTCGCTTGTTCGCGGCTCCGGAAAAATCCTGGCCCGATGGCCGCGGCGCAGCCTTGAGACATATATCCAGGACCTTGTCAATGCAGTCGCACGCGATCGAGTATATCATAAACCGGGTCCGATATAATTCTGAGCAGACGGACGAAACTGGAACGCGAAAGTCGGTCATCGTTTGCGTGGGAAGAATTCATCGCCGCCTCTGCGCGTCCCGCGTTGATTTCGCGTTACGTGCGTCGCTTGTAAGAAAAACTCGCGACCCTGAATGGTCCGCGGATGCTATATCTTGTATTCTCGGAATTGGTATATGGTAAATTGTCCCTAATTGACGCAACAATTGTACACAATTTGGGAAGAGGAAATACGATTATTCGAGCTTTTGCGGCTCGTTTTTACAGTCATCGATTGCCAACAATTATAAAGACTAGTTGCAAGGCTCGAATAATCGTATCTCCTCTTCCCCAATCGTCCATTTTTGTGCACAATCTGAGCGTCAATTAGGGAGAATTTTTCTGTACTCCGAATAACGTCGCGACTACGCGAAAAGAGAGCAATCTCGACAAAGAAATTTTGATCGCGCTCGAATCGGTTTCTTTTCCTTTGAATTTTGAAAATTCCTTTGGATTTTATCGCGGCAACAATACCGGTCCCGTAACAATATTCGAATTCCGAGGGGTTATAACGGTCGTGAAATATTTCTGGAACTTCTTCGGACGCTTTAATTGCGCCGCTAATTTCTATTACTTTCGCGAAATCAAATATTCCCTTTGAGTCGAATCGGGGCTCCACCGCTTCGGTTAGCTCGGCGAGGCCGATTCCCGGCAAACCGGCGGGCATCTATTAAGAAAATTATGGAACTCACTTTAACGACCAATCCCTCGATCTCTTTGTCGTAGAGCAGAGAGAAATGCAGCTTGCCCGCGTACTCCATCTCCGTGGTGCTGGAGCTTTCCGCGCTCTCCTGCCTCTGCAGCTCCTTTTTGTAAAGTTCCGGCTGCAATCGCGAATAATTAAAACTTCAGCGAGCTAAATACGTTATTCTGTTTCGTTCTGGCCGGGGCCACGAGATTTCCCGGCAGCAAATTTAGGGGGGAAAATTCGTCCGACATATTCGGTCGCGCGCTGCGGTCTCCGGTTATTTGAACAATCGCTTATTTGGGACGAAGCTAATCGAACCAATAGACCCAGTTCTCTTTACTCAATTGGAACAGCATGCCGCTTGCTTTATGACGGATCACTGGGACATTTATTTTCGTTTTTGTATACATAACAAATTCAATTGAATTTAATTTAATTTATTCGAATTTTTTTAAAACATATTTTCATTTACTTCGATTCATTTTAATTCATTTTAATTCGTTTTAATTTAATTCAACTTAATTTAAAAATTTGATCTAATTTAATTTATTTACGAGTTTGATTCCCTTGTGTATACGCTTATTACAAAAAGTATACATCTGTATACAATTACAAAAAAGTATAAAAAAATATTTCTATAAAAACTTACAAAATTTTCGTAAATATATATATTCATGAGCCATTTAATGATGTTGACAGGCATTGATAGCGAATGAAGAATATCTGTCTATACATGCTAAATATTTAAATAAATGCGTCGTTGCTTCTAGCATTTCTAGCAAATTCTAGTCTACCAAATGAGTAAATCAAATAAATAAATCTACCAAAAATTGCGAAGCTTCTGTATCACCGAATTCTTCTTCTGAAATCAACGCGTCAACAGCAAAACATGAAATTAATTAAAGAGGAAAGAAAGTGACTGTGCGTACCTTGATCAATCCGAGGCTGGAATCGCTGCGATTCTCCAGGTTGCAGATGCTGAACTTGATATTCGGCAGGTCGAGTCGGTGGGAAAGCTGTCTCTGGAAGCTCTGGTGCCTCATCGGGACAATGGGTAAAGTTGTCTGGCGCAGCACCTATGCAAAAGTCATGGTTTCGTACGTTTGCCTAACTTCGACATTTAAGAACCCTCGCGCGGAGGCGGTTGGTCTTGCGGTTCCGTCGCCAAACGTTTAACGAGCGACGGTTTTCCACGCATCTCAAAATTTCGTTTGTTTGTTTCCGATCTCCAAAGACCGAGACAGAGTTGTTTGTTCGTTGTTTATTCAATGGAAGCGACAGCGAAAGATTTTCGGAACAGTATGTAGTAACTTCTTCCTAATTGACGCTCAGTTTGGGAACAAAAATGGACAATTTGAGGCTGGAATAATCGTATCTCCTTTTCCCAAATTGTCCATCTTTGTCCACAAGCTGAGGGACAATTGGAGAGAATTTACTGCATTTGCATTTGGTCTGCATATCTTGCGACGGAAAAATAGGGAAGTTTTTTACGACAGACGAAATTATATTATTAATTTTCTACGATTATGAAAAATACTGATAACGATATTATATATATATACGATATAATATATCGTTTTTAAGCAATTTAATCGGTGTATTGTAAATGTTGTGCCCAACATTCTCGCTAAAACTTCACAAAACTGCGTCAACCTGGTTCGGTATATTTTGCATAAGTAACTGCAAGGGTTAACTCTTTGCCCTCGGAACAGATTTTGCAAACATTGACATTCGCAAACGTTGAGTCGAATTGCAAGAAAAATCATTATGCTGCTCGAAAATTGTATAGGAACTGATAAATAAAAAATTTTGTCTTTTTAATTACACGTTTTACGCGTGATCACCTTACAATATTAAGGGAAATAATAATTAAAAAGAGATGTCACATAATTAAAAAGAGGTACGAATACATTTATTAATAATTAAAAAGAGATACGAATACTTTCTGTCGTCGTATCGGCGACATCCGAGTGCAAAGGGTTAATAGAATATTGCATCAACTAAAACTCAAGATAAGTTCTTAGGAGATAAAATCTTATATAAAAATTCATCAACGTGCTTCGATACAAATCAGCGAACAAGTTGGAGCTTGTAAATGGGACCTTCTGGGTAATGGAACGAAGCTCCTTTGTAAACGGGATCTATTCATGGTGTACCTTCTTGTTATCCTTCTGTTCTTGGACGTATTCGTGAGTGATGGGTTCAGACTGGAGATCCGGTAAGGAGTGACTGATGCGTATGGCGTTTTGCTGGGACAAGTCGTTCTCACCGTCGTCCTCCTTCATGTACGACCTCACCCATGTCATCCATCGCCAGCTAGATGAGCACTGGAAGCTCACGGCAGCCAGCAGTAACAAAACCATCAACGTGACTCCGCTGCCTATCATCAGTTGATACGAGAATGTTTCCGTCCATTCTTCTGCGAACAGAATTCGCATGCCTTTAACATCGCTTCTGACACGTTAGGGGAAAAAAGGAATCAGCGTGAGAATTTTACGGGGCGAGAAAATATATATTCTTCGCTTAGCCGCGGCTATCTTCGAAAACCCTTTTGATCCTTGAGCCTTACAGTGCCGAACAACGATGGCAATACTTCGGAAAATGTGCTTTCCTCAATAGCACTAATAAATAAGAGATTTATCTTTTAATTTATGCTAATCTTTGAATTTTCCAATTATCAATTTTTACAAAACTATACATATTGTACAAAAATATATAATATAATATAATAAAAATATAATAATATAATAGTATAATATAATAAAAATATAAGAATATAATACAATAAAAATATAATAGTCTAATATAATAAAAATTGAGCTCTAATTGAGCGCCAATTAGAGAGAGAGAGAGAGAGAGAGAGAGAGAGAGAGAGAGAGAGAGAGAGAGAGACATTACTGTACAAAGGGAATAAAACGCTTCACCCAACTCTGATCATGATCAAAAAATTACACGATCAAACAAATCGTCGCGAGCCACCTGGAATACCTTGCCGGTCAGTCAGCAAACTACCGAAGAACATCTTAAGAACATTTTGCTCCCAGAAGCCATCGAGGCCACCGGAAAACGTTCGAGGATCCGGGATCCGGTCTGTCGCAACTGGGACACCCATCTTCGCCCTCGGAAAGGCGGGTTTCCTCGTCGCCGGTCGAAAAAGCGAAAGAGAATATTCCTATTGTCCGCGCCTTTTAAGCCGACGTTAAGGAGTACGCGCGACGTCGGCTGACTCATTTATTGGCGCAACGTTCGCCGGCCGGTTCTAGCAAAGCTCGTAGACGAGGAGCTTGCGCAACGAGGGCCGCGCGAGGACGATGCAAATGAAGAGTAACGCGCGCTTCACGCACGCCTCGATGACTAATTGCGCGCGGCGCACTCCGCATTGTGCGGCTGCCTACGACGAAAGAGAAAGCCGGGCTGCGCGGATCCTCGGGGACAACGACGCCTATCACCGTCGCGAGGCTATGCCGACGTCGTCCCGCGCCGTCTATTAACCGCGTCCTTAATGACGGGAACTTCTTTCCGTCGGCGGCGGGATCGCGCAATAATACACCGGCCGCCGCGGATAATGCAAATAAGACGGGTCCCCGACGGCCGAAGATGGTTCATTAGTCATTCCCCGTTCCCCTGACCGAACAATCCGCGCGCGGTCGACGCCTCTCCGCGTGCCGATTTCAATTCCGCGCCCCCGGGGACCGGAATCCTCGGCATCGTTTCAGTAATTACCGCCGCCACGCGATTCTTCCAATGATTCTGCGCGCGATAGGCTAAACAGCGATTCCAGCTGGGGAAAAATCATGCTCGTCGGGAAAGGTTAAATTGTTGCAAGACGAACGGAAGAACATTGCTACGGCTGTGATGGAGGAATTGGTAGCTAGGATGTCAGAAATTAGTGAAAGAAGCTTTAAGAGCACGCGGCGAGTCGGCAAGAAAATTTAATTGTCTTCTCGTTGCTATTGGCGAAATATTGAACACGTTATCGGTTAAATATATTGAAAAATATGGTACAAAGTACAGTAAATCCTCTTCAATTGTCTCGCTCTCTCTCTCTCTCTCTCTCTCTCTCTCTCTCTCTCTCTGAGATTGTACATAAAAATTGACGATTTGGGGAGAAAATTATTCGTTAATTATTTGTCCAATTTTTGTATCGTGCGTCGACCACCTGAACTGTTTCTCTGTCAAACATGTTCGTACAATAAAGACCGCGGACGTCAGAGATTCGGATAATCGCGGTTCTACCGACGTATTGTGTCACTGAAAATCTCACTTGCCGGTGGAGTGTTCATGGAAATCGTATCAATGAAGATAGAGAGGACTCATCCCTCGGAATGCTCGCAAAGGATTCGCAGTACGATTTTCCGGCGGATTTCGAAGACGCTCGCGAATGGAACAATACTCATTCGCGAACTAGACTCTCTCGGTTGTTCTCCTAAATGCCGTCGTGAACGCTTCCTTAGCCTTAATGCACCTTCGCTCCAGATATCCACACGCTTCATTGTCGTCCTCCTGGCTGTCGTTTAGTCGAACAGCACGTGCCGGCGCCACGTGCCTATTACCGTGGGGCGTTTGAGCCAGCTGCGCCGATAGATCACCGGATAGATCGCTCGCTTTATGCTTTTATCGTCGACGAAACAGGATCAGCCGATCAAATTTGTTCGCCCGGGAGCTTCGATCTTTCGGCTCCAACCAGTTCGACTATGTAGGTCGCTGGTCGATAAACGGCCGGACAATTGGTTCGGCTCGAATACTCTTTGCCGTCAACTTTCGCTCGAAAATAAGACGAAATTTGTCGATCGAAACGTTTACCGTCGTCTGGCTCCTCAGATTTCTGTTCAGAGCCCCGAGTATATAATATACTATATATACTATATTATATATATATATATAGACTATATATATATATAATACTATATAATACTATATAATATACTATATAATATACTATACTATATATTATACTATATAATGCTATATATATAATATATATAATATACAATACTATATATAATACTATATAATACTATAATATATACATATACTATATATAATACTATATATAATACTATAATATATACATATACTATATATAATACTATATAATACTATAATATATACATATAATATATATATACTATATAATAAGTATTAATTTCGAGCCGAAAAACGAAGCCAAGGCAGCGCCGGCACCCTTTATCGGAAGTAGGTCGATAGAATTATACGAGAAATTCCGGAAATTCTGCAACATTTCCCCCTCCGGGTATCGAATTCTCCTCGCGGCGAATCTACGCCGTTTCTACGCGGCGAACAACCGTTCGGTAGCGCGCGGAATTATGCGTGATAATATTTAGAATAAACACAACGAGACCGGCTCGATTTTGATTAGGCAAACAGCGGCTGTAATTCCAGCCCCCGCGAAGTGCTCGAGTTCTCACGGGCGAGGGGATACGAGGGGGAGGCAGTGAGGACACGTCTCGCGCGACACCCACGCGTCGAGCCGCGATAACCGTTCCGCAGGTAAGAGTGTTCCGTTGCCGCTGGAAGCTGCTGGAACCACCAGGAAATCACTTTCGAGAGGCTAATTCAACGTCGGACGGTTTCGCGCAGGTTTCAGACGCCTCCGCCTCGTTCCCGGTCTCGATCGCTCGACGCTTTCGAAGCGTCGTCGGGCGACCGCTCGAACGACGTCCGGCCGGGAGCGCACAAGGCGGAGGATCGATAACTTCTTTTACGATTTTCCACAGACGGATATTCCATTAAGCTTGTTGTCTACGTATTTGTCGCTGGCCGGCTTTCACCGCGTCGGGGAGGATCGGTTATCGTAAACCCGCGAGGGGCATAATAGGGGGCTAGAAAGAAGCCGGACATTAAGCGACCGCCCGGGCATCGTCGTTTTTATCGCGCACATCCACACGCACTCGGCTGAAAGTAACCGCCAATAATCGCGTGACGCCGCCGATAACGGGTGAAGGTTCGGGCGTAAACGCGATTTACGACTTACTTCTTGGTCGCAGCTCGTGCCCGTCCGCCGCACCCGACATACACACTTAAGTGATTGATGAGTCTCGCCGACCCACCGCGCGCTTTTACCGGCTTCGCGTTGCTCCTGCCCGTCGTTGCCACCCTGCCGGCCACCCTGCGAGCCATCCCGCGGTTTTTAGTGTCGCCCACGACCTCCGAAGCTTTCAGAAGCCCGTCGCGGACGCGAACGATCGTGCTTCGGAAAGCTCGCGGGCTAATAGGCGTTGATGATAGAGGACAAAGTTCTTGGACACATTGGAAAGCATAGCTTAATTGTTTAGCAGCAAATTTGTAGATCGTCGCGGCGAGGATTACAGGGTGTACCAAAATTATTGTACGAGCGGGAAGCGAGGGGTTCCTGAGGTTATTTCAAACAACTTTTTCCGTAGCGAAAATGTTCTACGAGGCTTCGTTTACGAGTTATTAACGGAAAACAGTGGCCTAATCCCTCCAAAATCCACCAAAAGTTTAGATCAATCTAGGTTCACGTATAAAAATGATATGCCGTTTCAAAATCTATACGATCGTTCGAACGATCCACTATGCCAATTACGAGAAATCCCGAAGAGCGAACCGGCCTGCTTACAAATGCGAGTATAATTTCCTAAACCGTGCTATCGGATTCTTTATTTTCGCGTGGAAAAATGTGTTTCGAGGAAAGTTGAGACACGCGCTTTTCTCGATACGATCGAAGACAAATATTGCAAGGGTAAGACGGGATCGGAGAAAAATCTTTTTACTCGGCGAAAGTTCGATTCAGCGAAGCCCAGGAAATCGATACAGACGCGCGGTCTTCCGTTTTCCGACGAGCCCTTCGAATCCGCTTCCTGCGCGACGCGGCGGTGCACGTCGATTAGAACGAATCACCGTTCGAACAGCCGGATCAATTGTTCCGGATCGGAACAAACATCGACGGTGTTTCGTTCGGGAATTCACGATCTCGCGCCGGCCCGGTTCAATTATCGATTCGCCGCAGCTTTTTATCTTCCGCGTGGCTTTCCCTCCAGCCTTGACCCTCGCACCCCCCGGTCGCGTAGGCGACGAGGACGAGCGGAACGGCGTGCACACGTTACCTGTGCACGCGTGTTTTTGTTGAAAAAATTATTGAAATTATGGGGTATAGAAGAAATTGAATCTATTAGCTAAATAAATCATTGACTATTGTAATGCATAAAAGTCACACTTTCAGTTTTCTAAACAATTTCGAGCACAATCGTTTCTTTGGAGAGAAAGATTCCTTTCAAATGTTTCAAATAACTTCCAATGGTATATTGATTCGTTTGTAATTAGAAGAAAAAAACGAAGCGACGCTTAACAATTAAACGTATTAGAAAGTAATAAACCAAGTAACACATTGGTTAAAAGTCACAAAGTTGTAGCAAAGGAAAATACGTCACGCAGTAG